CCAAAAAATGAGGATGATATGGAACTGTTCCATTGGTACCATCCACAACTTTTCACATTGGAAACAGGAAAAAAAAACGTACCGAACCGAACTGTACCATTCCACACTGCTCAGTGGAAATGTGGCTTTTGAGTCATTTTAAGGTATGTCCTCATCAAATTTCTTTTCCTGTTCCTGTTTCTGTCCTCACACATACACTCTCCCATAATTACTATGTGGGGATACACCTGTCCCTGGAGAAATACACAAATGTCAGAATCACCTCTTCCTCTGCTCCTCCTCTGGGATTTACCTCCTCCAGTCTAATTTAAGGTGTTGACAGCTAGTCAATTTCTAAAGGAGCTCTCATCCCGGGGCAGCGAATCGCCACTTTGTCTGCTTTGCATATTTAAAATGTGAGCTGCATTTCAACATATTCTCAGACAGATACAGAGATGTTCATGGTGAAAACTAAATAATCAACTCTGGATTAATTTAGCAGCGATTTCATTGTAAAAAGAGAAAGAAATTGATTTCGTTTCTCTCCTCACTGCTGCTTGTTTTCCTTCGTCTCCCCTGAGACTTAATTCCTTCGCCTGCAGAATAACAATCAGCTCTGGTGACGCAGCCAATGACTCAGGACGCCATGAATTAAAATGATCTTCTGACATCATGTTTCTGACATTGCAGGTGAGGATGCTCGCTGAATAATTAAAATCGCTGCAAGTCGATTTTTCTGCTCTATATTCTGCTCACGTCTGTGATGTCTCTCTGACACCTGCTGATAATTATCATTTAAATATCACACTATACAGGAAGCCCAAACTCTGACCTTTAACCCTATCACACTTAAGTTTTTGTTCATGTTTGTTTTTATGGGGAAATTAAGTCTTCATGGTTTAAATGTAGCGGATGAATTGGTTTTTGAAACTTAAAACTCATCTTTTTAACTTGCTTTTCCCCAGAAGCTAATTTAATTTCTCATGTTTACCCCTTTCTCGTTTGACTCTTTATCTTTTCTGCTCCTTTTTCTGGCATTTGTCTTTCAGCTACTTTCTGCGTTACCTTGCAACACATTCTGCTTTCTCTCTGATTCACAGAAGAAGGTTGAGCTTTGACGGCAGCACACAGCGAAGATGAATAATATAATATTTTATGCAGCAGCTGGCCTGAGTGGGTGCACCCTCAGCAAGACTTGCAGCTGATGTTGAGATATTTAATAGAGGCGACAGTAGTTAAAAGAGTACTTCACCCTGCAAATGATCATTTGTCAGTTACTCACCGTGTGTTACATTGGATTCAGGAAGCAAACTTGTTCTTGCATTCCTTCACAGTGAAGGAAGAATCCAAAACACAAAAATTCTTGATGAATTAAAGTCATAAGGTGTCACATTTAACAACAGTATCACTCATGGATGAGTAGTGTGTGTGTGTGTGTGCTTTTTCAATCACTTTTTAATTCATCAAGAGTTGTTTTTGTTTTTTTTTGTTTTTGGATTCTTCGTTCACAAATGGTCATTTGGGGGTGAAGTATTCCTTTAACCCAGGTCTCTGCAGTGTGTTATGAGTGGATGCTGTTTTGATTGTGGCTGTGATCTTTGCTTTGTTGTTTGCACCCACAGCTCTGACTAAAGCTTCAGCCGTAGAGTTGCGAAGTGGTGGAGCTGTTTCGGGTGTCCCATTAATTTTCCCCACAGGTTATATGACTCACAGTCTGAGCTTTTTTAATGGCCTCTTCTGGATGAATCATCAGTACAAAAGATTAACATTTTCTTAAAATATCTGGTTATTTAAAAGGTTAAAGGTGCAGGAGTGAAAGGTTTTGCCACTAAGGAAACTGAATTTACAACCTGTACAGCTTGAAACTGTTCACATTGGATTTATAGGTAAATAGTTTGGATAAATTCAGAAACCACAGGACCAAGTATTGCCTACAACTATGACAAAACATTTTGAATTTGTTACTATTCTGACTGGCTCCTTCGCCAGAGCAATGGAGGCTTATGGGTATTGTAGTATTTAGAGCCCTCTGCCAAAATGACATGCAAACAGGATTTCTCAGAAACAAAGTTGAAATAAGTAAAACTGGTGGTCATAACATAAATCTATGATCATTACATCATCTGGAAAGTCCTGTGTTTCTGTGTTCAGTAATTGTTTAAAGTGGTTCCCAGCGTAAACATAAGCTAATTCAGCATGTTGAATCGGCATCAGCAGAACCCGTCTGTGAATGAACTCACTCTGATTGACAGTTCAGCTCAGCGCACGAGACAAGAGACAGAAGTGAGGAAAGTAAACAAAAAATTAAAGTCAGAGGGATTGAGACAAAAACAAACTTGTTACTTAAAGTAAGATTATTTTTCTTTAGTCATTGAACTCTTTAGCAGACACATTTACTAATGGTTTGTGTTATTGTTCACTGGTGCACAGTAAATATCCTCTGTTCTTTCAACACTGGATTGGAATGGATGTGCTAACTGGCTAATTAGCATTAAGACGGTCTTCCGATTTCCCTTTTTGTATGACGATTACAGATGACCGCCATCTGCTGGTGTGGAGAGTTATTTCCTCTCACACAAGTGCAGAATATATGTGCTGGTTGGCCATTGGTTAAGTCTTTGAGGTGTGTGCACATTTTTGGGCGAGACACAGGCAACAAGAGACAACGCAGCAGGGGACTTTCATTGCTGCTAGTTTTCTTAAGTTGGTTTGGTGGGTGTGTCTGGGCCTTTAAAATTGAGCAGCTATCTACTTGGTGATCCCTTATCACAAGTAACATGGACATTATTTGTCACAGTTTGTTTAATGTGAATTTTNACTGACACCTTTTCCACCTTCAAATCCCATCTGAAAACACCTTTTCAAGCTGGCATATTCAGTCTGTTTTAATGTTGACACACATATTGAGACTTGCACTGATAATGCTTTTATGATGATGATTTTATACCTAATTTTTATGATCATGTATTTTGTCTCGTTATTTTATAAATTTATTATTTTATATTATTGAATTAATGGATTCGTGATCTATGAATATATTGCTGCATATTAATTTTTAACTCTGTCTTGTAAGGTGTCCTTGAGTGTTTTGAAAGGCACCTATAATAAAATGCATTAGTGATGATGCTACAAACCAGCATCATCATGTGAAGCCTTCCAGCAGATAAACTAGGCCCATAATCCTCATGATCATAAGGCATCCCATGGCAGACATTTAAAAATACTCCAAACCGTAACATCATGCATTCATCACTCTTTAAAAAAAAACCACACCTCAGTCTCTTGAATTAGCTTTCACCACTTTTTATTCACCACAGTAGGAAAAAAAAATCACACTTAGAGTGTCTGATGTCACTCACACCTTTTCATCCCCTCTGGCTGCTGCAGCTACAAACAGACGCTCATTGTAAACCATTGATTTAAATGTGTGTGACTCCACAGCTTCACATTTCATCCAGAACATCTTGTGCTTTGCTTTCCTGCCTGTACTCATGCTGCATTCATGGGCGTGGGAATTTTGGAAAATAAAACGACTTACCTCTTTGAACTAAGGCTACAGGGCAAAACAAATATTTAAACACTTCTTGGTAGATTTTTTTTTAATTGAATGGAACATATCTACTGTTTGGTTGTGCAAACTACTTTATTTTTAGCAAGATTTCAATATTTCAAATCAATAAACAGCATGGTGTGGCAAAATCATTGCATCTAATAAAACCTTATCCCACATGCTTTTACAGAAATAAACTAATGGCCCAAATCAGTGGAAATACTATTAGGTATATTTGATCCATTATCTGATATCTATACCTGCTTTTAATGTACTCAAAAAGTACTACAATGGAACAAAAAAAAAGTGGCATCATAATCTTACTCAACCTCATATCTCAGGAACAGAAGGGGAGACATTTTTTCAGATACTGAATTTGTGACACTAATCTTGGGTGCCACGTTTAAGATATGTGCAGTTGTGCAAGTGCAAGTTGACTGGTGTGCAGAGGCAAACAAGCACGAGATAGGGTTGCAGCAACATACTGGTTTGTAGCTATACAATGATATAAAAGTTGACGGGCATCATACCATGTACATTTGCTTATCTACGATATTGGAAAAAAATGTAGCTGGACGGAGAATCTCCCCTTAAGTTACTGTCAAAGGAGAGACTTTTTACACATAACTCCATTAACAAAATGGTTTCAAGTTTCAGTTACAGTGAAAAAAACATTTGTTTGACCAAAAATAAATCTTCCATTTTCATTTCTTTAAGGGTCATTCTGACTGATAATATAAATTCTATAATACCGTGATATCATGAAACTGCAGTATTTTCTGAGAAGAATATTGTACCATGAAAATTTCATACTGTTGCAACCCCACAAAGCAGTAATTTTCTCTTTTTTTTCATTTAAGTTTTGTAAAACATTTTGTGGACCCCAGAAGAGCACTGTTGTTGTTAGAGCAGTTAATGGGGTTCAAACAAAAAGATTAACTTTATTAATCCCTGAGGGGAAATTCAATATTTTTTCAACTGTGTTGTCATATACACACAGGCCTGAAATACACACACATTCACAGACAGAACCTGTACATGCATTCAATGGAGAGATATCAGAGCGAGGGGGCTGCCCATGGACAGGTCTGGGGGTCCAATACCTTGCTCAAGAGCACCTCAGCAGTGCCCAGGAGCTCGAACTGGCACCTCTCAAGCAACCAGTCCACGCTCTATACTTGGTCTGTAGGGGGACTTGAGCCAGCGACCCCTCCCACTCCCAAGCCAAGCCCCAAACCCTGAACTAAACACAACTGTTCCAGCTCCACACATAAATGTTCAGTCTCAAGGTTCACTGCTGAGCCAATCACTACGCCACTTAATTCTCCAGTTGTAGTTACCACTAAATTCCTACACTCCTTGAATGCAGCATCACCGCAGAGAAGCGCACCGCCGCTCTGCGCTCTGATTGGACGTTAGTGGCTGTAGGCGGGGCCTGTCTGCAGGAGTGCAGAGACAATAGAGAGGGAGAGAGAGATAGATCTATGGGTGAACCAGCAGCAGGGAGACTGTGACAGACAGCGGCGGTGAACACAGGCAGAGGTCCCTGCTTCATTCGAACACCGAGAAGAAGATAAAACAAAAAAAAATTAAAGGATCTGTGTCGTCTCTTAGTGACAGGGTCAGGTGTCTGGATGGACTGACAGATTGCATGCAGCACATTGTGAAAGGTAAGATCAGATCAGATCATTTTCTGACCGCTGTAAAGCAATTAAGTGGTAATTAAATGATGGTTTGTGTCTTTAAATGTTTGTTTTATTAATTCACAGCTCAGATTGTGCTTTTTATTCTCTGCATGTCTTTGTGTGTCTGTGTGCTGCTCTCTTGCAAAGCATCACACTGGACTACTGTTGTGTTGACAAGCCGGCTTTGTTAATTATTCTCATTTAAACTGCTGGTTTTTAATTATAAATCATATTTTAAATACCCAAAAATACAAAAGTTGGATACCATGTGACCAAACACTGACTGTGCAGAACAATGGAGCTGCTGTCAATCTTTTGTGTCCCATCTTCACATCCGTACATCACCAATATTTGTGATTTGAGCATTTATTGATCTGCATTCAACATTTACTCTTGATTTCTTCCCATACAAACATGCTCACGTGCACTCCCTCCTGCTCTACCTGAGTTCACGTGTGCGAAATGTTGTATTGATTATAGTGCATGCTTTGTGTCTGCAGAGGTGGTACACACTTCATGTCTTTGTGCTGCAGTTTGTGGCAGATTTTATGAGTCCCAGACTGTAAACTATGTTACTGGCATCAGCCCTCAGTGAGTCTTGTGAAGGATGATACACTGTGGATGCTTAAAACCTTTATTTTTTTTTGGTAATTATTGTTTGTGTTAATGGGAACTCTCTTCATCTTTGAGGGGGAAACTGCATCAAAAAGCATTTAGACCCTCGAACTGGGCTGCAGAGATGAGGCCATCAGGGCTCTCGTAGCTGAAATGACTGTTGATTAATCATTTAGTTGACTGACATAAAGATAATGGGGGGACATTTTGATTAACGAATAATCTTATCAGGCATTTCTCCAGCAAAAATAATTTTAATAATTGCTCCAAAATTTCTGGTTTTAGCTTTTCAAATTAGATTATTTCTTGCTTTTTCATTGTCGTAATTGAATATCTGACCAAAACAAAATGTTTGAAGATGCCCCTTGGGCTCTGGGAAATTTTATTACTATTTTCTGGCCTTTTTATTAACAAAATGATTCATGTAAAATAAAAATTGCTGCAGCCCTGTTTACCAGCAGGAACATGAAGCTTTGACATTGTCAAGGCTCATTTATACTCCCTTTATGTATGAAAATAGATACCTCCCTTCCAAATGTTGTAAACATCACTGCGCTCATACGTCCTTTATGTTGGCATAAATATGACCAGTAGATGGCACTAGACGCAGAGTTTCTGACAACAACAGGCGACAGTGGAGGAAGTAACAACGTACCTTTTAATGTAGGCAGCGATGTAAACAGTGATGGTCTTGACTGAGAGATTAGTTCTGTTCCACCATTTTTAAAATGTCTTTGTCATCTCCGACAGTTGTATCTTACTTGAACTACGCTACAAAACCCCCACGACCTCTGGTGGTGCTGCTCTGTTTCATCTGTACCCTTAAGCTTTTTTTTCGTGCACAAATACGAACAAAGTGAACGCAGAACAGACGGCTTCATCTGTGTACATATCTAACTTTGAGCATCATAGCCATGAGATGGTGTTTTCCAATAACCAACAAAGCTAACGTTGGCTTTTTCTAGCTAATAAATGTGTCTACTTTGGTCTAAAATCAAGGACACACTGCTTCATGAATTATTAAGTATTTCTTACCACTGTTATCCATTTGTTTTGGACTTGTTTGCATTAAACGAAAAATTTGAAGATGTCACCTTGGGCTCTCAAAAGTTATGTTTTTTCAGCTTGTTTACATTTTATATGCTGACCCAATTAGCGGTAAAGGAGATTAATCAATAACAATAATAATCATTTGTTGCAGCCTTGTTTACGTGCTGTCAACATGATGCCATGTACGTAGCCATGAGTCAGCTGGTGACAATCAGATCTTTCAAGAGACAAATTTACCTTGACCTTCAGGTTTTGGACTTTTGTTTGAATGAAACAAACCCATTTGAAAACATCGGCTTGGACTATTGGAAGTTGTGTTGGATATATGATTAATGAATTAATCTGAAAATCACCTACAGATGATTCGTGAATGAAAATAGTTCTTCAGCTCAGCAGCTGATGCCAAAAGTGTATTCTTTGCACATCGATGCATGTGTAGTTAACTGATAGAAAAACAAGCCCAAATTTAAGAGCTGCCACCATATATATCCTGTATGCAGCCACACCCCCTTTTAGCCAATTGGCATGAACGCAAACACACACCTGTACACACACTTGACCTCTAAGTGAAATTTCAGCCTCCTATGGGTACTGTGGCTGCCAAAGGGTGGGGAATTATTGTGGACGGACCAACAAACTGACTGACAGAGCGAGCTGTAGAGCTGCTGGTTGCAGCAAATAATAACAGCCAATCGATTAGTTGTGTCAGGTATTTCTCAAGAAAAAATTGTAAAAACAAACTGCTCCAAATTCTCTGCTGTTAGCCTTTTGAATGAAATGATTTGCTACTTTTTCATTGTAAAACACTAAACTGAATATCTTCAGGTTTTGCTAGACATTTGCAGATGTCACCTTGGGCTCTGTGAAGTTCTGTATGCTTAATCAAATAATCTAAAAAATAATCTGTAGATGAATCCATAATGAAAATAATCATTAGCTGCAGCCCTACAGCTGACACTGAGCGTCTGGTTTTCTTTGCACATTGATGCATGTGTACACACAGCCACCCAGCAGACGGGAGGATCACACAATAACAGTGCAGAGAAAGAAAGTCAGAGAAGAAGAAAGAGAAGCAGAGATTAAAGCAGACAAAGGGGGTAACGTTACCTACTGTAGCGTGGGGTTCACAGCAGCAGAAATGAGTTGGCATTAAAGGAGAGCGCCCAGTGATGTGCCGCCGAGCGTGCAGGCACAAAGCCCCAGTGTTCGCAGATGCTGGAGGCCGAGCCGGTTAAAGTCTCGCTGCTTTGATGTGCTCCACAGCTCCATGAGCGTTGTGGGAGCCAACCGCCGAGCCCCACCGGAGGGCCGAGCTGCAGGCCGGCCGCCACACAGGGACAGCGAGTGGGACTGAAGCCCAAAGCTGTGGCTGTGACGGTTTGTAGCTCTGCAAACATTTCTGGAGGAAAGAACTGCTCGTGGTGCAGAAATAATCTCCCTGGTTTTGTTATCTCAGCGGGCAGATTCAGAGAATAACACTTTACACATGTTAGTTCACTGGCACTGGGTTGAATAGGTAAGAATGACAAAAGGATGTGACCAAAGGGCCCATAGAGACGGGTGCAGGAGGGGAAGCCTGTAAAATGTCAAGACTTTAAGGTTCGATTGTGCACTCTAGCCTTCATTGAAAAGCTGAAACTCGGCAGTCGGTAAGTTCATGTTCACCTCTCTTTGTGAGCATTTTTAGTTTAATGTTTGAGCATAAAAACCCTGAGTGGAGACACCTGAAAAGGTAAAATATATTGCAAAACATGTTTTTCTGCTTGGATGAAATGGAATAGATAGTGTATTGATAAAAACGAAATGTGACAAAGTGCAACAGAAAGGGAATCCCTCAGAACTTGGTAGTTAAACCTTGAGGTGGTGTTTTACATCCTGCATCACACAAAGTGTTGCCCATGACTCACGTTCTCGACAGGACGCATTGGGTCATCTCATCACTATTTAGATAAGCTAGCAAAACCATTGCCTGCGTAGCTGTTTATTTATCTAATCTTTGCCTTAAGCCCAGGATTAATCTGACAGACGGCCTAACTCTAACTTCACCGTCCACATAGGTTGACTGTGCAAGTAGGTCACTGTGACCCATACCTATGTTTATTGTAAGGCAGTGCCCTCTAGTGGCCAAAGTAATTACAGTAGCAGAGGAGGAAGTGACGTAACATAGCTTAGAAAGTGACAGTCTGCGTAATGTTGTACTGACACTGAAGAAGCCCCTACAGGGTGAGTTGGTCAAACTAACACAGGGCTTTCACTCAGGAAACCAGTATTAGCATCCTGAAGTCAACATTGACTTCTTTTAATAACAACATAGCCTAGTATGCTAGTCATTATTTAATGCCAAACCATAATGTTTTTCCTGAACCTAACCACATAGCTTTGTTGCCTGAACTTAACCAGATAGTTTAGAAGCAGCAACAGTTTCATGACATTAAGGACGTGTTCAATAGTGCAACTGTTAGGAGAGTAATATGTCATTTAAGGAGTCAGTGAAAATCAACCTATTTTGTCATTAAGGTAACTTAAAAAATTTTTTAAGGTAACTTAAAATTATTAATTATTTATTAATTATTTTTTTGGTTTTGTGATCATTGTTTTACAAAGATACACTTCGATTTTTGCTCCTTGTATTGCTAGCACAGCTGCAACTGCAACTAGTCTTCCCTGTTGATTTCCAAATGACTGCTGATAAATTCTCAAAGTGACCATCATAACGTTACACTGGAAAATATGTACAACTGAATAGTTCTAAAATATATTGACATTTAGATGGGCTAAATAATGGACAACATTAAAATTCTACTCAGATGGGGGAGCCTGTGATATCACTGTAGTATCTGGCATCATGCCCACACAGGCTTAAATGCATATACAAATTGTTGAAAAGCATCATTAGCATATTCTGCATGCTTCATAGTTGTGCCTAATTTTCCAAGCTTTAGAACTAAAACCAACCCGTACTTACTTACATACGCACATACCAAAATATTTCTAGATTTTTTTTTTGTGCTCTCTTGTAAAGGTGCACATAGATAATCTCATAAGATCTGAATGTGCATTCAGAGAGCAGGCTGAGACGGTCACGGAGCTCACTGAAGCACGCGCTGTTGCTTCTTTCAAAACCACACCCATCCAGGTGCAATACTGTATTTTGGGGGAATCCCCAACAGAAACGACTCAGTGAATAAATAATGACAAACATGAAGCATGTGAAACTTCCACTGATGACACGAAACCACCAAAGTCAACAAAATCCGCCCTCTGATATAACACATTATGTCTTGTTTATTTCATCTGTTGAAAAACCAGTACATAATAAC